TGAATCAGAAAACCACCCCACAGCACCACCCATCACCATCTTCCACCATCATCGCATTACCACCCCACCGCAACCACACATCACCATCTGCCACCATCATCACAACACAAACGTGATCGGAATCAAACCATCATCCACTGCATCACCATAATCACAAAACAACACCAATTACAAACCATTCACGGTGACTTCCCGTCGTTGATCTGCCACAATCCGAAGTCGATCGTCACAAACCCACCACCATGAACCCACAGATCTGTCACAAACCCACCACCGTGAACCCACCATGAACCCATAGATCTGTCATAAACCCACCACCGTGAACCCACAGATCTGTCACAAACCCACCACCGTGAACCCACCATGAACCCACAGATCTGTCACAAACCCACCACCGTGAACCCACAGATCTGTCACAAACCCACCACCGTGAACCCACCATGAACCCACAGATCTGTCACAAACCCACCACCGTGAACCCACAGATCTGTCACAAACCCACCACCGTGAACCCACCATGAACCCACAGATCTGTCACAAACCCACCACCGTGAACCCACAGATCTGTCACAAACCCACCACCGTGAACCCATAGATCTGTCACAAACCCACCATTGTTAACCCACTGACATCGCAGATCTGTCCAACGTGAAGCCCCGACGTCATCGATCGTCACAAACCGACTGCCGTGAACCCACCATTGTCGCAGATCTGTCCACAGGGAAAGGTGTTTTTGATTTTTTGTTTTGTTTGGCAGGTTTTTAAATCTCGTGTACACGCATGAATTTGTGATTGTGTTTGATGTTTATCTATCTCAGGGAAGGGAAAGAGACCCACGAAGTACCTAAATCCAGTTTGTGAGCTTCCGTTACCTATTGGTTTTCAAGACACCGAGACACAATTTTCCTCATTTTTATTTTATTGGAAATAATTTGTGTTAGTACTGTTTTTCTTTTCATTAATCTTTTTAATTTGGACTTCAATAATGTGTTTTATAATTGGTTGACTCAAACTGATATCTGCACATAAGCTACTTTTATTTGTGGATTTGTTTGTGGGGTTTAACAGTTACAGCATGTGCTATGTTGCTTACAATGTTTAGCACATGCGTCAAAATACTGTGCAGTTTCATATGTTCTGTATGTAATTGATAAATTTTGGGAGTAAAAAATTATTGGATTATTAGAAATATTTTTTTTGGATTTCACTAACTAATATATTTGTTCTGTAGATTCGACATCATTCTTTAATCGTAACAACAAATTACGCTCATATGCAAAGATGTCAGTATAATTTGTCTTGACGTCGCAGGATTGATTACTACTTGCAATAGAGGTGAAAGTTTCGACGTTTTTCCAGACTTGGAGTTCGTCATACACCCTGTTGGTCGACATTGTCTGTATCTTCCCCTGCATTGACGTCTTCAAGCAGTGTCAGATCGAACGAGATATAAGTTTATCTGTGTTTACTTGATTACGTTAACATGTGAGTATTATATTTGTAATGTGATTGGTGATTCGTATGGTGTCTCAATGTTGGTTATCGTTCTCATAGTACTGTCCTTAGATGAGTGATTTTGTAGCCTGGTCCGTTGAGATGACCCATAAATTTTTGGTCCTGTTGTTTGAGCGGGCCAAAACTTCTCACGGTACTTCAATAAAAACAACAGATTACCAGGAAATGTTGGACGACATATCATTAGTGGCTGGCAGGAGACTCAACGTCACACAACTAACCTCTAAGTTCTTTCGCCTGCGAAGAGTATATTAAGCATGGCGGAAATTGCTACAATACACGGGGTTCGGGTGGGATCATGAGTCGCAAAGTCCAAGGTGTCCCATAGAGGTTTGGCAAGAATATGTCAAGGTAAATTTTCATCTTTTTTAACTAATATTAATCAACAACACCATAATTGTACACATTTTTTTTTCGGACTGCCAAATATTAATATATTATTCTTTTAACTTACCATCAAAACCCACTGGCACAACAATTTTACCACAAGGGACTTCCTCACAAGGAGCTTTATGAAATCATATTTGAGAAATAAACTGTCACTAGGAGATACGCGTACACATCTACATCTCAACCGGTAGAGACCTCCACTTATTCCAATCAGGGCGCGGTTCCCATGGATGATAGCGACTTTGAACCTGATCCAGATCGGACGACAGGGGAAAAACGACCAAACACATCTGGCCATGGAAGAGCGAGAAATAGGAGGAACAGAAGCGGCCTGGGACAATCACTTACGGATGTCATTGGTAGATTGACGGACGAGCTTGTGGAGAAGCGAACTATGGGATCAAGGGCTAGCAATCGTAGTGCAGATGAGAGGGACGAAGAGAACACCAGTGGTCCATCTAATCTGTTTTCCATGAGCAATTGTATTGACAGCATGATGGCCATGCAAGTACCCATAGAGTTTTACCTGTCGGTTGTCAAGTACTTATATCAAAATCCAGGGTGGCGGGAGATATTCGTGAAACTCCCGCCCAAGGAAAAGGCTAACTGGATTTATAACGACTTTCACAATTTGTAGATGACACTATATTTCCTAAGTGTTTGTCAACAATTTTGTATGCGTCAATGGGCACTTGTCATTACAATTAGAATTTATAACGCTACTGTATAAACTTATTAATTGTGGTACTGTTTTATGTGATATTACCCGTTTCAACCCCGTTTTGGATTGTCATTACAATTAAATATTGACTGTTATATTTTACTAAGTAGTACAACAACTGTTAATTGTTGATCAATGTTTTGCAAATGTGCAAGTTTAAATGGTGTCGTCTAGCTGTACAGGAAGAAAAAGATGTGCTACAGATGACGAAGAAGAAATACTGACAGATATAGCCATTGCACTTTGCAGTGTTGTCGCGCTAGAAGCAACTGGGCGTCAACTACGACATACATCCATAGTAACTGGTCATAAGTACATGTTGGAAGTACTCAATGGTCATCGTGACAGAATCTATGACAAGTGCTGCATGGACAAAGACTGTTTTACATACTTATGTGAAATTTTGTCCGATCAAGGCAAATTGCGACCAACCAGGAAGACAAGTTTGGAAGAACAAGTTATGATATTTCTAACAATCGTTGGAAAAAAACGAGACAATCAGAACGATGATGGAGGATTTCCAACATTCGGGTGAGACGATCTCTAGACATGTTGGCGCAATTTGCGAGGCTATATGTGAGTTGAAGACAGAGTTTATCAAACCACCTGACTTCAATGATATTCCATAGGAAATATCAGCCAACAGAAAATATTACTCTTTCTTTAAGGTACTGGTTCATTATGTTTTCTATTAGTGGATAGTTAAGTTCATTGTGTTATTAATTTTGATAGTCGATTAATATGAGTAAAATTCAATTTTGATGATAGGACTGTATTGGAGCTATTGATGGCACACATGTATACACTTCGGTTCCACATGAATTTGCCGATAGGTACCAGAATCGCAAAGGAACGTTGTCATAGTATGTAATGGTTGTATGTGACTTTAGGATGATATTCACTTATGTCGTTACTGGATGGGAAGGATCTACGCATGATTCAAGAGTTTTAAATTCAATTCTTGATGATCCTAATTCTGGATTCCCACATCCTCCACCAAGTATAAGTATTTTTTTGACGTATTATATCGTATTTGCTCCACTGTTGAGGCCCTGTAATTCAAATAAAATGTCTGATATTATTACAGGGAAATACTATTTGGTTGATGCGGGTTATCCAAAAAGAGATGGGTTCCTCGCCCCTCATAGGCGAGTGGCTTATCATATTTCTGATCACCGCCATAACTGAAGGGGGCCACAAGAGTTGTTTAACTACAGACATGCTTCACTCCACAATGTTGTTGAGAGAACCTTTGGTGTTTTGAAAAGATGGTTCCGTATTCTGAATGGAATGAACAATTACCCGTTGGATAAACAAGGGAAGATTGTTATGGCATGTTGTGTACTTCATAATTTTATCAGAATGTACAATATGGACGACTATATCTTCGAACAAACGAATAATAGTACGGGTAATGAGCAAGTATATTATGATCGTCAAAACGGGGCAGAATATGGCCGAAATGGAGAAGGACCGAGTCAACCGCAACAAGGTATTATAGACAACATGACGACTGTACGGGATAACATAATGAATGCACTGTGGACAGCACAGTAGACCATGTCGTAGTTGTTAATGGAGTATACGTGTAAGAATGATTGTAAAGGTTGATAATTAATACTTTTGTCATATATGTATTAATGTGATGTTTTTAAACAGTTGGATTAGTACTTGAAATTAATATGGGTTTTTGTTTTTTAATATTTACTGGTGACAAAATTACCAATAAAATGTTTTATATTATTAAAATGTAAATTGATAAGTTATATATACATAATAATACATTATTTTAACAAAATGCACCAAAATATTATATTAATAAATCATTTATAAAAAATATATCAATCACATATTCAACACAAATATCAAGGTCAAAATACTCTACCAAACACGTATTCTTCAAATCATATTCTCGTAATCATAACCCTACTCAACTATCTAATATTATTCCCAAAATCTTATCCAAAATAATAAACCAAACGCACTCAAAAATATTATAAACTTTTTTTTTTTTTTTGAAAAATTTTACTTAATTGAACTAAATTGTTTCTATTAAATGAACTTAACTGTTTGTATTTCATAGTATCATACATAATTTAAATATATTTCAAACTTAAAAATCAAAGAGGAAATGAATGACTCTCCCGGGTGGGTAATAAAACCCCAAGAAAAGATGATGTCACGAAAACATGAGCATGAGAAAGAGAGTAAATGGGTGGGGCCAAAATTTGGTGGTGGGCACTTGTAAATGGGACCAACACTAATGTTTGGTGAACCAAAACCCATCATATATACCACCCTCTTGTCCAGTTGTCCCAACATCTCTCAAAAACGCTTTTCCATTTTCTTCAAGTCTTAACCATTTTCTACCATTTCACAACACCAATGGGTTCCACCGGTGAAACTCAGATCACTCCAATCCAAGTCTCTGATGAAGAAGAAGCCAACCTCTTTGCCATGCAACTAACCAGTGCTTCAGTTTTGCCCATGGTTCTCAAAGCTGCCATTGAACTTGACCTCTTGGAGATCATTGCAAAAGCTGGCCCTGGAGCTTTTGTTTCTCCAAAGGACATCGCTTCGCAGCTCCCCACGAAGAACCCAGATGCCCCCACCATGCTTGATCGCATTTTACGCCTCCTCACTAGCTACTCATTTCTTACTTGCTCTCTGCGTAATCTTCCTGATGGAAAAGTTGAGAGGCTTTATGGTCTTGGTAAAGTCTGTAAATTTCTAATCAGAAATGAGGATGGCGTCAGTCTTGGTGATCTTTCTCTCATGAATCAAGATAAAATTTTGATGGAGAGCTGGTGAGTTTGCCTTCATTTATTTCATTCCATTTCTTCTTCTTCTTTAATTTGTCTTTATTCATTTATTTATATTAATTAAATATCATGTTCATCATTAATTGTGTTTTTATTTTACATTTAAATCCCATGATATTGAAGTACTAAAGTTTAGATTTAGGATTTTAGTTTTAAATTTGAGTTTAAGTGTAACTAATATTTTTATTTCAGACATTTATTCTATTGTATTCTGTTTAGTTCAAGACTTGTTATTAATTTTTGTTTTATTCCGAAAATGTTGAAAAAAAAAATAAAAAAAAACTTGCATATAATTGAGACATCAATAATTAAGGTTACTTAATTTTGTTAACATATTTAATCATGTGTGTCTATATATAATTTTTTCATAAATATCATATTAAAATATTTGATATAGTAGATTTCCTCTTTCAAGTATGTAAGTAATTTGGTTTCCATATGTAATCATGTGTGTTTTTGTATAATTTTCTTTTAAAACTAATTAAATTTGAGATCCAAAAAAAAAAAAAAAAAAAAAAAATGTTTAACCTCATTGGGTGAAGAAAACAACCCACCTTTCCTACGGTAGAACTTTGGGTGATTTAAATCAAAACATGAAGAAGATGTTTGATTAATTACTTGAAAAAGGAAACGTGTCTTATATATATAACTTCTCTTTTGTTATGGAGTGAGTGAGTTAGTTCAAGATTTATTATAATATTATTATTGAGCGTTAGCTTGTGTAGCTTTGTCGACCACCAAACCAATAAAATCCTCTATAGTTTAGGCACATCCTTTCTTTCCATAGAGCAACAGTAAACTTCTTCTTCACTGGATGATTGGTAGGACTGCAGCCACCTTGCTGTAGCTTTGTTGAGAGCCCACTACCTACCACACTACTATTCTTCCATTATTGTATTCTTATTTTTCATTCTTTCATCTATTATTTGATATAATGACAAATTCATGAATTAAGCCAACTTTATACGGGATAAATTTAATATAATATAAAATAGGAAAAAACTAAATGGATGGAATCAGATATAAAAATAATTTAAAAAATTTTACTAGCATTTTTCATTTTACAAACTCATTACTTACTAGAATTTTGCAAAATGTATTTTATTTCTAGGTATTACTTGAAAGATGCAGTGCTTGATGGTGGAATTCCATTTAACAAAGCCTATGGAATGACCGCTTTTGAGTATCATGGAACAGATCCAAGATTCAACAGGATCTTTAACAATGGAATGTCTTCTCATTCAACCATCACCATGAAGAAAATTCTTGAGACTTACAAAGGCTTTGAGGGTCTCAATTCATTGGTTGATGTTGGTGGTGGAATTGGAGCCACACTTAACATGATTATCTCCAAATACCCTTCAATTAAAGGCATTAACTTTGATTTGCCTCATGTCATTGACGATGCTCCATCTTTACCTGGTATCGAGCATGTTGGTGGAGACATGTTTGTTAGTGTTCCAAAAGGAGATGCTATTTTCATGAAGGTGAGTTTTATCTTTACTTGTTAATTTTGAGAAAGAAAAAAAAAATGGTAAGGATCAGATTTCATCTTAATTTATTATTTTTATGTAATTGTTTGTTTTTTATCCTGATTTTTTTATTTTAAACACGCGGGTTTGGTACAATAAAACAGTCAGTTCATATCAAAATAGGCAGAAGTAGATGAATTAGGCTGGCATGTAACATAATGTTTCATCTTAATTGCAGTGGATATGTCATGACTGGAGCGATGAACACTGCTTGAAATTCTTGAAGAACTGCTACAAAGCGCTTCCAGACAATGGGAAAGTGATTGTGTGTGAATACATTCTTCCAGAAATGCCAGATCCAAGTCTTTCATCAAAGGTCCCTATTCACGTTGATTGTATAATGTTGGCTCATAATCCAGGCGGAAAAGAAAGGACTGAACAAGAATTCAAGGCCTTGGCTAAAGATTCAGGCTTCCAAGAATTCCAAGTGGTTTGCTCTGCTTTCAACACTCACATTATGGAATTTATTAAGAGGGTTTGAAACTTTTGCTTGTGTGCATAGTGCTTTTGACTTCTATATTGTATGGTGTTTGGAAAGTGGTTTACCCCCACTATATGTATTTCTTCCCGCATAAATCAATAAAAGAAAAATGTAATTTTTGTTGCTTGTATGAAAATAAATAGATTTCCAAGTTTGGCATGATTCATTATTAAGTTATTAACATCCAAAATTTTAAAAGAGTAAACGACATTTTCCCACCCAAGGTTTGGTGAATCTGTAAGTTCCCACCCCTGGTTTCATAAATTGTAGATTTCCGTCCTTAAATTAATAGAAAATTATTTAATCTAACAGTTAAAAGGGTAAAATGGTTATTTCAAAGATAAAAATTTCAAAATAACCCTTCATCTCTCAAATTCACCCCACAGAAAAATTTTAAAATAACCCTTCACGTCTCAAATTCACCCCACTTGTGATTTCAGGCCATTTCGGCATGTTTTTTACATAATCGACCCCTCCCAACACTACAATTACAATCCCCTCAACCCCCACATCAAAACCTCTAACCTCCCCGGTTGATTGAACCCCCTAATCGTCGTTCGTCGTTTTTATTGTCAATCGGCATTTCATCTAAATTCTGGCAAGTCCTAGCACCAAAAACTACCCCCAAGACCACCAATAGCATCACCGGCTTCCCCCCACCAAAACCCCCAACATCGCCGACGGCAATCGCCCACCGATCATCTCTGCCTCTCCCTTAGGTTTTCGCGTTTTGTCGCCCCTTTCCAGCCAAATTCCGGCACCTTACCAAGGTGCAATTGGATGGAAAAGTTAGGGGTTTTGGTGAGGAGGATAAGGGTATGCTAATAGTGGTGTCGAGGAGGTCCAATGGTGTCAAAATCAAGCCGGATTTTTAGCTTGGCCGGGATCTTCTCTGGGGGTTATTTGAGAGAAATTTGAGATGTGGGGGTTACTCTAAGAGAAAAGTAACGGTGTTAATTTAAGTGTGGGAATTGCAATTTATGAAACCAGGGGTGGGCAAATAGATTAGTCAAACCTTGGGTGGGAATATGTCTTTTACTCATTTTAAAAAAGCATAACAATTTGAGATAGGGACGTAAAAGACTCCAGGCCCGGGCTGGGCTTGCTCAGGCCAGGCCCATTGTTTTCTTTTCTTTTCTTTTTTAAATAAACGCCCAAGTTGGGTTTTTTTTTACCTCCTTAATTTGAGTGGTACTGCTAAGACTATGTTAGAAAGACCAAAAAAATATAGAATATTATCAAACTTTCATATCAATCATACCACAATTGAAAAAATTAATGTCACTTTTGATCCTGTTCTTTCTCCTTATTTTTAAATTAACATGATTGAATTATTGATTAATTGGGTTGGTGAGGTAGTTGTATTTTGGTCAAGGGTGGAGACGGGAAAATTATTTTGCGGCCAAAATCTAATAATGTTAAATGAATGAGGGGGCCACAGTTAAGCAATTAAAATATTATGCTCTAAAACTGACGGTGTCCAAATTGAAAAAGTGAATTTTTAAGGATAAAGTATAAATTTCTAAATAAATTGTAAGAAATATTGGGGGCTTGGCCACCCTAAGCCCGAACATAGCTCTGCCCTTGGTTGTGGTATCATAGATGTTTCCATAGTTTGATGCTAATTAATCAGATTGTAAAAAAACTTATCAGGTTTTTCTAACTTTAGTTCATTGATTAATTTCTAATCTCCCATGACTTTTAGTATAAATTTGAAAAAAAAAATCCTTAATAGTTTCCAAGTTTTTATGACCAACATCTCAAAAATCTTGGAGGCATTTTGAATCTTCTTTTATATCTCAGGAGTGGATGATAAAAACCATAGTTATAAGATCAATTGACTATTTTCTTTTTCAAAATCACAGTTTGGAAATCAAATTACATAATTTAAAAATAATTATAGAGATATTATTAAACTATCAATGTAAATTAAATTACACTTCTAACACCAAATTGATTTGTACTTATTGACCAAAAAAGAGAAAGAATTGTTGGTGGTCTTTTTGTATTTTGTTAAATTAACAAAAATAATAAAAAGTTACAGCAAAATGGATTATGAAAAAAGAAAGGTCCATTATTAAGTTAGGTCTAATGGTGGATCGTTACATCCTTTTTCTTGGACTTATGACCACACTTTTTAAATAATGTTTGAGTCAACCGACAACCTCCTGTTAGGACTTTTTGAAAGCGAACGAATTTGTTCTAGTAATATAGTATGAAAATACGGATATCAAACCCTAGAGAATTACTATTTATTAATTACCAAAATTAATTATTTATATTACTGTCTGATTAATTGAAATTTGTTGAATGAGAAAACTAAAAATAACAATTTTTTAAACAGAACAAAGAAATAATGAAAAACAAATCGAAAAGGAAGCAAGTAGTAAAACAATATGGCAAAGCCTAGAAGTTGCATATACTTCATACCAATTTACTCTTATATCTTGACAAATCATGCTATCATTGTTAAGCCTTCACGAAAGACCAAATTTCCTCATATTCCAATTTTTTCTCTCGAACAATTATCGAATTAACTCTCAATTACCAATTCAAGATATCTCTAAATTGAATTTAGGTCTTAACGGTTTATTAAGCCATTTGGAATTCAATACAAGTCTCATAAGTCATGTCTAGCATCTCTATCATTCATTCAACCTATGGTGTTTATTATTTAGGTTAACTATATTTTATCTTTCAATCTCAATCTAGTTCATTAGATCAATCAACTCTTGATACCAAAAGAATTGAGGGTAATAAGAACAATAATAAAAACTTACAAAAGAATTGTCTAACAAAGTTTAATATTAATCCATCAAAACATAATCATAAATTGAACTACATCTTAGCCCTAGAAAGTTAATTTAAAATGTTTTTTCATTTTTCTTAACTTTTCTTTTAATTTTTAATTTTTTTTCTTTCATTTTCTAAAAATAAATATTTTTTGGTCCTTTTTAGGTTTTTTTTTGTTTTTTTTTTTAGTTAAAAAATCAAGGATATCTAAGTCTTTTTATCATTTTTCGTTAAAGTTAACCGTCAATCACCATTAAAATGTCCCTTAACTGAAGAATTAGCAACTTTTGTTCTCCCGTTAAAAATTTCTAAAAAGTTTATGCCCTAATTGATAATAACTCTTTTAGAGACATATTTTAAAAGCGTCATTTGAGTAAACTTTCTTCTAGTTATAAAATAAGTATCCTCCAAATAATAATACCTCTTAATTTTAAGAAAAAGATAGAGTTTAAACGTGAACATAGTGTTTCATCTTAATTGCAGTGGATATGCCATGACTGGAGCGATGAACACTACTTGAAATTCTTGAAGAACTGTTACAAAGCGCTTCCAGATAATGGGAAAGTGATTGTTTGTGAATCTATTCTTCCAGTAATGCCAGATCCAAATCTTTCATCAAAGCTCACTATTCACGTTGATTGCATAATGTTGGCTATTAATCCAGGTGGAAAAGAGAGGACTGAACAAGAATTCAAGGCCTTGGCTAAGGATTCAGGCTTCCAAGTTGTTTGCTCTGCTTTCAACATTCACATTATAGAATTTATTAAGTAGATAATTATCTGCATTTTGAACATTCTAATCCAAAACTTAGTAGTTTTGTTATTAGGGGTGGCCATGGGTTAGAAAATCATTATATTTTCATGTGTATTATGTGAAGGGGTATTGATCCTTGTAGCTCTTGTTTCAATATAAGTGATTCAAAAGATTTTAATGATGCCCAATTACGATTTTTATTTTCATACTTCTCAATATGATAAATTTTATCTTCTTTTGCTCTAACTAGTTATTTCACTTTTTGTGAATTCTTATTATCATATTGCTCCAATTATATGTTTAATTGTCTATTTAAGGTAATATACTTGTTCTTCATAAGACCAAACACTGTTTCTGTTTGGTTACCACAACAGATAGTCATAACCTGAACTAGTATGCAGAAGGGACAGAGTTCAGTAGATTCAAACAAAGTTTAAGATCCATTTTACAACTTCTGAGAGGAGCTTAACCCTTGAAACAGTAACCAATGTCCACTGCAGGCTTCAACAATTCTGCGCTGGCAACTCCTCCTTCAACACATGTTCCCAGTCTGATGATGAACTATCATAAGAAGCACCAGGAAGTTGATTTCCTAACCTGTCTGTCCTGTGAACGTGGATCACAGGATCATCCTTAATACGTAGATGGAACTCCTTCATTGTTAACTTGTCTTCGATATAGTTAGAAAAGTTATTCTGCAAGACAGGTTCCATATTCCCGTCCAAAACTTCATCCTCTGCTGGCCCATGCTTTTTCACTTCCGCAAATCCAAGATTGAAAGCTTGTTGGAGTTCACCGTCTATATTTGTACAAACTGCATTATCAACACGGTTTTTGAGGATCTGGAATCTAGCCATGACGGAAGCCTTGACATCATCACGAAGACTATTCGGGCTCGAGACAGGCAAATCCCAGGATGACGTGTCTGGGGTTTGATCATCCTTAGCTGCAGATGCCATTCTGTCAAACTCATTCAGATCATGAGAAACTTCAGAGCTTGATAGCTTCGGTGCATCTTTAGTACTTGTATAGTTTGCACTGTTCACTTTGCGTTTCAGAATATTAAATCTGGCCATGACATCATCAGGATGATCGCCTTTGGTTACAATCAGAACTGCAGGAGCAGAAACATCTCGAATTGAATCATAAACCTCAGGTTTCAATTCTTCAGCCGTTTTTGTATCAGGAGAAAAGGAGGACCATGATAATTTCTCCACCTCTGCATTATCTTTTGATAAATCTGAAGCAACTGTAGTATTTTCAGACAAATCTGAAGCAAGAGAACCCAATATTAAATACAAAAGTTGACAGATTAAATAAGGTGGGAAAGAAAAGAGTTTTCAATTAAAACTTTTACCTTTAGCTTTAAGCGACTTGCACTTCTCCATCTCAATTTTCATTCGATTAAAGCGAGCCCTATAATTGACAGAACACAATGCTGCTTCAGCCTCCAGCCACAGATTCTTATATAAGAGTATTTGTGGCTGTGTTCGATCCTCTTCAAAAAAATTCTCACTAAGAACCTTCTTTATTGCCTGCCATCATGAACCATGACAAAGAAATTAATGCCCAGTTTGATATTGTTTAACAAATTTGATTTGAAAATGTGATTAAATACAAATGGAAATTGATTTGAGATTTTGAAGATTCAGGAATTAAAGCTTCACATGATTTTTTTCACAACGTTTGACTAACCAAACAAAATTTATTAACTTTAATTAGGTTGTGTTCATTCTTTAATTACTCTTTATATAGTTTGTTCTTTTCATCAATTTCAATTTGACCCAGATGTTAAAAATGTAATATATTAAAAAAAAAACAAACTTCAACTATTGTTTTAATAATAATTTTTCCAATAATTGTGAAAGAAACTTAAAAGTTTTGTTCCATTTCCATACAAAATTGGAGAATACTCGGAAAACAGCTACTGGATGTAATTTTCTTATATTTTGAATCAAAAAGCAGCAAATCACTTCCAAAAAAATGATGTTGAATGACACCAAATATATGGGAGATTTTCAGATTCTATCCTGAGCTTTAGCTAATACTCAAACTCATGGTATTTTTGCAAGAAATCATCAAAAACTACCCTCAAACCCTAACTTCATCAAAAGAAACTAAATGTCCAAGGATACTTTAGTCATTTAATCTGACATATTTTATAAAAATAAGTGAGGGTAAATTAGTAAGTTTATATAAACTTCAAATTTTAATTTAACAGACATACACGATGCTGAGGTTTAAGGGTAGTTTTTTTATGATTTCTTGTAAAAGTGCCACTAGTTTGAGTACTAGCTAAACCTTAGGGGTATTTTATGAAAATCTCCCCCAAAAATATTTCTATTTTCATAATCACTTTTCCTTGTATTTAAAATAATGATCAAGAATGATTGTTTGTAAGACATGAAGAACTAAAGAAAGTAAATAAATTACCTGGGTAACCTTATCATCTTTCTCTCTATCTACATCACCTCTCAAAGAAGCAAAATCCCAAAAATTTTCATCTAACTTATCAGGAGTAAAGTGCTTCCTTTCCTCCTGGCCACACTGATAATCAGGCCGATTCAGATCAGTAACAGCTGCTTCCTTGGTCACCTGAGATCTACTCAGAGTCACTCCCTGAAGGAAACATCATTCAGCTTAGGATTGTTAAACTACCACTTATCAAAAACCTTAACCATGTAGAAAAGGAACAATAGTATCTTAACTAGTCGCTTGCATAAACAAAACTAATCATTAGGTTCGTCACCTCATCCAAAACACACATCCATCTTTCTAAATATTGAACACTTATTAATAAACTGGAGGATTTTTATAGATTTGAACACAACAGCACTAGGTCAAAGACAACTATTTTTGCACTACCACTAATCCTAAAAGCTTGACCTTATAGAAAATGAACCACCAATTGTGTTGAACCATCCAATGCTCTGAAAACTGAACCGAGGTCCCCGTTCACGGTTTGACCAGTTAAACTGGTGGTCCAAAAAGTTTAAATTCTTACAAACACACCCCTGAAAACTGCTTCCGGTCCCTACAGGTTTAAAATATAGCAAATACAACCCTGCGATGCGTTTGAGTTTTGACGTTTCCGGCCAAATTCCGGAAGCCAAGATTCAATCCGACACCAACACCTGAACCACCGTCCTCCACTCTACAAAACCCCTCTAACCCAAGAACTTGGTAGCCCTCCATTCGCCGGCCATGACTTGCAAACACCGTCGCAATTGGGTTGATTTTTCCGGCCAAATTTCGGCTTATTCCGGCGTCAAAAATTCAATCCAGCACTACCCCTTGAACCACCAGCCTCCACTTTACAAAAGCCCTATAACTCCGGCACTTGGTAGCCCCTCACTCGCCGGCAATTAAACTAGGGATTTGAATGAACAGTGAAATTGAAATCTTGGATAGGAAAAGAGGCCGGCCAATGGTTGGACCAGTCCAACTGGCCGGTCCGGTCCAGTTTTGCGGAACATTGGAACCGTTTTCGGAACATTGGAACCATCATAAGGAAAATTACAACCAACATCATGATAGAATGAATACAAACTCACTTTCAAATTCTTTACTTGATCTGGGACGAACACATCTATGTTTAAGAATTATTAAGGCATATGAGAAATCTATGGAAAAATACCAAATAGTATTATTGAGAATCACAGAACACACACCAAAAAGCATCATAATGTCTATATGCACATGCTTACATAATAGCAAGATTTATTAATTCTAGAATGGGTAATGTAGGGTTTCACAAATTCCTGAGAACAACTATAAATAGGATGCAAAAGAGTACCCTACATAAATTTGTCCAAGGAAAGAGCTACAAGACACGCAATCACACTCAGTGTTTTTGCCCATTCAGCCTGACAAAATGGAACTTTCAGATCTCTGATATCTATCTGGTTTCTAACTATTTTGAAAGGGTGTTATCATTTTTATTCTGTTTCATTATATTTCAAGGTGTTTATGCAATGATGCAGTCTGCAGGAAAGTAGAAGCTTTCCTATTGCAAATAAATCTTTGCTCCAAGGGATTAGGAAAAACCTTGGTGACTTAATTTACAAACAAAGTCTTACAGGGATTCTAAAGCATCACAATTACCGGACTGTACAATTACAAAAATAAAAAACAAAAGGAGCATAGAGGTCTTTATTCAAAATATAAAAGGTTGGACCATTTCCCAATTTTCCAAGAAATCCTTACAGAGGAATGATGCTGTTCTTTTGTGCAAATAGGACTTCTAACTGGAATATTTAATGCTTTCTAAAGAATTCAGCATAGTGTGCATGATTTATCTATGTCTATCTATGCTGCAGTTCCTGTGTGTGTCAATTACGTTCTTTTCTTTTACCAGATAAATAACAAAAGAAGCAGAAACCATCCACTGAATTTGCAACCCGCACCATGTATATTTTTTCCAATATATCAGAGAAGTGATTTTGATGTGTATTAAAACTTTAGCATGGACAACATACCTCATGAAGCTTGGGCAACCCCCCGAGAAATTGGGAAGTTATATCCGGAAACAATGATTCTTGCAATGGGACCACCGTTCCCAAATTCTTTAATATACATTTATCAAGGTTGTTGACCACATTCTTCAGGGCAGAAAGTTCTTGCTTCTTCAATTCACATGCTTCATTTGAACAATGAGATAGAAGCAATTCTGATAGGTTATGCATTGTACTAATCAATGTCTGGACACAAATCTTGGGAGCTAGTTGTTTACCATACATTTTGGTAAGCTCAAAGGGAGCAGCTTCTACAGCAGGAGGCGAACTCAAGACATGCTCTGTAGCATGGAATGGCACATGTGATGAACAACCTTCTGAGGAATCACTAGTAGTCATCCCAACATCTTCAACACCAGTGCCTGATTCACACTTTCTTTCAGAAGTCGGTTTACCTTCCTCAACACTTTGTTGTGTGGAATGGAAAGGCTTGAAGTTTAACCCATACATTGAGTTCTTCGAGAGAACATATTCTTTTCTTGATTTTTCGATGTCATCAGAAAGCTGAAACCCATGGCCATAGCTTGATTGGTAGTATCCTTCTTTCACATCATCATGTGATCCAAGTTCCCGAATTAACATATTAGCAACAGAAATCCTTTCTGGAGAAGGTGCTAAATCATTTTCCAGGCACCCATATCCCTGGTACAGTGGAAATTCACTTGGTTTCTGAGAGCAGAATTTTACAGCATTATTGGTTGGCCCAATAAGATTGGAGCCACTGCATGCTTCTATTGTCTTTGTAAGCTGTGGAGGGACAGGCCCAGAAGCTTCAAGTGCAGAATAATGAGAAACTGGAACTCCTTTCCAGCAGGGTGAATCCACGGCATGGTTATAATGATCTAAACTATCAAAAGAATTCTCAAAACAATTCAAGGTATCATTACCACCTGAACTAATATGAGCAACCTGTCGAATAGAATTGGTCCTGAAGGGATCCTTAGTCACACTTATGTTGCTCAAGAGCTTTTCTTTCTTTTCTGGGGATAATTCCAAAAAACTATGATGATCCCCTTCCAGGTTGAAGCTGACTTTACTAGAATCAACGGGAACTTTGCCATCTGATAAATTACTATTCGCAGCGAAGTCTATACTGTGTGCAAGGCCGCTAATTCCCACATTGTTAAAGGCAGTTGTATTTGGTGCTCCAATGACAAGCCCAGGGGAAGACTTCCTGACTGATGTAACATCATTTGGACTAATACCTTTCTCATAAGATGCCAGAGAATAGCTTTCAGGAAATACTGAAGTGGATCCAACAAATGATTTTCTTGAATACTCAACAGGCATGAACTCAGTATTTTGCCCTGAGAAAGATTTATAATCAAACCCTTCAATGTTACAAGACCCCAGGTGTTTTTCAAAGCCAAGCATCTGAGATTTCTCTTCGCATGTGTTTAGGACCTTGGGCGAATGAGCTGCTGCATATATTAAAGAAAAAATGAAAAATGAAAATACCTATTTTTACTATCAAAAGCTAATCTGGTTCTAGAAAATGTAATCACACAAGACCATAAAACTTAAGAAATGGAGACAAAAGCAAAAAAAGAAAAATACCCATTTTCTGTACTAACCCAATTGAGCCCTGCATCACTAGCTATGGCTTGATAATTGGACGTATAAGCACTCCTCATATACCCAATTTTAAAGGATGAGCTCTACCTAATGTGCGAGTAACAATTGGTATAAGAGCAAACACCACACAAGCAGACCCTCCTTGCAGACGGACGTGTGCAGAGATTTGCAAAGTCACCTAATGACGAAGCGAGGTAAAAAGACTACCATGTTTGTCATTTTCAAAAGCCTGGTAGATTATAGTGACGCAATTGACTCCCACATTGCTAAGCTCAAAGTCACCTAAAGGCTTAATGGGTCACAAGTGGACATGGTTACGCTAGCAACTGGTTTAGAAAGCATTTGGATTATGGCAATCCAAAACATCGGTTTCCATAGCAAGGTGGATTATAGCAACCCAATTGAGGCTAAATCACTAAACTACACACTTCCATTACAAAATCGTTTATAAGGGCGAGTTTTACTCAATACGTGGGAAACATTTTAACAATTCAGAAGCTAATCTTCTTACAGAAATCTCTAATCACACAATTAAATACAACTAAAAAAAATGTATAAATATCAAAACAAGAAAAGAAAGTACTAGTAAAAGAGACAACCTGTATCCATATGATCCTTGTAAACGGGTAAATCAGAGACGTTGATATCGTTTTTGGGATAATTCCAACCGTTTGATCCATCCCACAAGCCAGTCAAGGATTGAGTGTAGTCATCATACGTGGGTGGTGAAATATAAGAAGGATAATAAGGCTTGGCTTCAACAAAATTACTAGTTTTGATGGAGGAATCAAAAGGTAAAGAGTGAGTATTAAGCCAATTCAAAGGCGGTTCAGTCAAATCCACAAGGGGTTTTGATACAGAACGATCAACTGTAAAAGGTTGAGCTAAAGCAGATAAATTAGACGATGAGGAAGAAGAAGAAGAACCAAAACCCATCATCATCATCTCATCAATTTTCGATAAACCCAACAAATAAAAAACTTAAGATAACTGATGGAAAAGAATTTTACCGAATATAATCATCAAAATCAACGAGAAGAGAGCGTCGGTACAACCGTACAAGTCAGAAACTCTGGTTTTGCCCTTTTTGTCCTTTGTTTGCTTTAGAGTTTAGGGATAAGTGTGTACAAACCACAAATTGTCGGTGTTTACCAAAGGCTGCATTTCGTGGAGAAAATGTTTTATACAGTATGCTGGGGAAGTACGTTAATTGAAAAATAGGTTATCTTAAACATCATTAAAAATATTTGGAGAAAAATATTTAATTAGATTAGAATAACTAGTTATGATATATTAATATATTTGGTTTGAGAAATAAATTAGTAGGTATGTTATATAGATTACTTAATCGTCTTTCTTTTTAAATATTAATATAATATTATTTTTTTGAACCATTTCTTTTAACACGTTATATAGAGTTGGTGGTGGCCCGTGCCGTGCCAAAAAATTTAAGACCTGTCGTATTATGGGTCATGCCAAGGCCCAAAAAAATTTATGTCTTGTCGTGTCGTACCAGCCCACCAAATCTAAAGACCCACGACACGACCCACTATATATCATGTCGTGCCATGGGTCGTGCTGTAGGCCGGCCCACATGCTTTGTAATTTTTTTTAATATTTATAAATTATGATAATTTTGATTTATTATTAATAATTATTATAAAAATAGTTTATATTTATATTTAGTGATATTTTGTATTTGTAGTAATTAAAAAATATATAATCACTATGAAATATAATACAATAATAAGACATCGAAATATTAATTGAATTTCAACATTTTTTATTACTTATAAGTTATAAATTATAAATACAAACTTAGAAATTAGGATCAAGAATTATCATACATCTTCATTTTCATTAATTTATAAATTCTTAAAATCTTCAAATATATTTTCAACAACAAGATTTTATAGTTTGAAATATGGCACCACCTAATCTTTCATACACATAAGGTTTTTAACAAAACTTGGATGTAAACTTAATCTTCTCTTGTCCAATACACATCTAATTGCACTAAAAGCTAATTCTGATATTATAGTAAAAATTGGAGGTGTTAGTAAATCATGTGCAACAGCAGAAAGTACAAGATAAGTATTTTTATGTACTTTTTACCATCGAAGAATATCAAATTGATGAATTTGAATCAAAATTTCAACCAAATAATCCATGGTTAAATATTTTGTAATTTCACTATATGAAGAGCTTGCATCTATCGGTCGTTTACCTTTAGTGATGATAGATCAAATACACTCTTTACCTCTAAAGGAACTTGACTTTGATGGTGATTGTATATTTGTCGTGTTTCCACATTTGACTTCATAATTTGAATACATTTGAAGTAATAAAGTTCTAACATTATCCAAAGAAATTTTTAAAGGGGTCTCTAGATTTGCTTAAATTTCTTCTATCAGATTATTTATTCTTAATGATTTTATCCTAAGATCCATTACAGTGGCTAAAGCAAACAATAGAGGCATTTTTTCCCAATATTTTCTAAATTGTTTTTCCCTTTTTTTTTTTTTGTTTTTTGTTTTTGCAATATCTCCAAAAACTGCATGATCTCTATATTCTTTAAAAATAAAACTAATATTCATTATATTATATAAGACTAAATAAGTTGTAGGATAATAAATACTATAACATTGTTTATTAGCATTATTTAAAGGTTCTAAAATATTCATTAGGGAAAAACCAAGTTTCCAATGATTTTTAGTCATTGAAGATCATATTGTTTTGTATTAAAGAATTGTGTAATAGCATTTTCATATGATTCACAAGATTTTAACATTAAATATGTGGAGTTCCAATGAGTCCTAACATTAGTTTTCATTTTTTTCTTTTCTAACCCCATTTGCTTATACAAACAATGTTATTGTTGTAAACGTGAAGGAGATGATGAAATAAATGTAATTGTATGCATAATTAAAGATATTTCATTTTCAATTGATTTTAATCCATCTTGTACAATTAAATTTATTGTGTGACAACACATCTAATATGAAATAAATTGACCTTCATAAGGTGGATTTAATTGTTTTGACAAAAAATCAATAACTCATTTGATGATGCATTATCAAATGTGATAGAAATTTTTTTTTCATTTATTTCATATCCACTAAATTTTTTAACTAATTCTTCATAAATAGTTACGCCAGTATGTGGATATTTTAATACACGAAATATAAGAATTTTTTTTTTCTAGTTGCCAATCTAAATTAATAAAATGACTTGTTGCACAAATATACTCTAAATCTTGATTAGTGGCCGTCTATAAATCAGAAGTAAACGAAATAACTCCATTAAATTTACTAATTATATTTTTAATATTTATTTTTATTTCATTGTATATTCTAAAAATACCAGCTTTTAAAGTATTTCTAAGAACTCTCCTAAAAACAGGTTGTACACTTCTTTGCATATACCATTTTAAAATTAGATCATCACCATATGAAAACGGTTGATCGGTTGCGACAATGTGTCTGACCATATAGTCTTTCATGGTTTTTTGACTACATGTGAAGCTAGAAATCTTGCCCATTATAGTATTTGATTGACTATCAGTTGAATCACATATCGATGTAGGTGCCCTTGTAAATGAAATTTGTTGTTGCCTGATAAGAGCTTCAAAACACACATTTACTTGATGGTTTATGGGGATTATTTGTGAGAAATTAGGTTTCAATTGAGTGATTTGGCTTAATTATTTCACAAATGTCTTTTATGAGATCACAAGTATATTTTTAGTGAGGTCACCAATGCTTAAAGATGACATTAAGATGAAGAAAAATGATGGAGATGGAATAAGTGATGATGTGGAACAAACGGATCACGAATTAGAGAAGTTATAGTTTTGAAGTTAAAGAGAAGATTATTTCAATGATAACTAGAGATGTAGAACTCGGATGAAGATGATTTATGGACCATTGGAAATATGATTCGAAGGGCTACATTTCATATGTTTAGAACTTGGCTAGATTCAACGTTAACAAGCTAAAAAATCACCATCTATTGAGTGCTAAAAAATGATGTAAGGTTTGAATTGAAGAGAAGATTTTGGCCACCATGCTATGGCACAACAAAATTCTAGAACCAACCATGCTATGACACAACAAAATTCCAAAACCACCCATGCCACGACACACTCACAAAAACTAGAAAATTTGTTTCCGTGTTTAATTAGGAAATTGGGGTTTTAGGAGTTCTAACCTTAGTAGAATAAGGGGAAACAAAACCCTAACCGTTTTTAGATATAAATACAAGTCTTTAGCATTATTTAAGGGGATTCTTTGGAGAGAATTAGAGGAGGACCAATGGCTAGAGAAGAAAAACAACAGATTCTCTTAAGCTTTTGGAGTCATATCAAAGAGAAGTTCTTCTTATTTCTTTCTTGAACTCATGTTTCTTATTTTAATAAAGATGATTGTTTCTTTCATAATTGCTATGAACTAATTTTATTTTCTACAGCTGAGATGTAACCCAATCTCTTGATTAAGTGATGATTTATTTATGTTGATTTTTATTAAGATTTCTTCCCAAGTTTTATTATTATGCCAATGTTTTTTATTCTTAAGAGCCCAAGAATTGAATGAATTAATGGACTAGGTTGAGATCAAGAGATGATACTTAGTTGGTCTACAGTAGTAAAACTATAGGTTGAGCGAATGCTAGAGATAAGTTACCACGACTTGTGAGATTTTGATAAACTCCATAGAGCGTAATAATCTCCAATTGCTTAAATCTGATTAAAGACAATTCAGGTTAGTAATTGGGAGTTAATTTGACAATTGTTCGAGAGAAAATTATTGGAAATTTAGGGAGTTTGACTTGTAGGAAGAGCTTAATGAAATTAGCATAAGTTATCAATACATATGAATAAGAGTTGGTGTGAAATCTATATTATAGGTCTAGTTATCTTGCATTAAAACCAAAGATTTATTTAGTTGTTTTCTTTTCAGTTTTTTTTTTTTTTTTTAGTTAAATTCAATTGTTAATTCTAATTTAGATTTTTCTTGATAAAATTTGGATTAAACAAATAGTAATAGGATAGTTTATTTTGGTAATTGATAATAGTAATTCCCTTGGGTTCGATGTCCAAATACTTACATTTTATTATTTGCACGATTTCATACACTTGCGAAAATCACAACATTGCCCTTTCAAATGTTGTGCATTTTTTTGCAATGCTCATTTATATGCCTCCTAAGCCCAGTGCCACCCATACTTGAACTGGCCAAACTAGAACCACAATATTTGCACACTACGCGTTGCACGATTTTACCACAAACTGTTTCTTTTGTTTGAGCAAAATGCTACCAAATTGTTGATTTTTGCTTTCTTTTCTTTTTTGGGGGTGGCGATTGTGATTGTGATAGATTTTCTGGTTGTTGTGGTGGTGACTCATTATCAAAATAATCAAAAGGATTAAATTCATTTGAATTTGGATCCATTTTGAAATTTGACTAAAAATTAAAATAAATTCGATGAAAAAATAATTGCGAATTTGAAAGAGATTGTGAGAGCTTGAGAGTTGAGAGAGAAAGGAGAATGAAGACTGGAGTTGGAGTTTGAAAAAATAAGAGAAATAATGGGGGTATTTATAGGAAAAAATTAAAAAAAAAAATGTGAAATAGTCGTTACCCACCTTTGCAGGGGGTAATGGCTATTTTTTTAATTTTTTTCATGTCGTGCAGTGCAGGTCCATGGCACGGCCTACATGATCATGGGTCGTGCTATGCCGTACTTTTTTCGTGTCATGCTTTATCGTGCCATGGGTCGGCATGGTCCACCGCCGACTCTACCCCTACATTTGAGATTTTGCTAAAACACCCCAACCACATAAAAGTTTAATTTCAAACAAAACACCTCTACCCACCCCAACCCACTGCCAACTATCGGCAGCCATTGTCCCAATGCACGACCAATTCGATCTGGTCGACCATGCGCCGATTTGATCATTTTTTACTAGATTAATGATCGAAAATGGCCAGATGGTCGTGGATCTGACTAGAAACGGTCATATCTATTCTGGCAATTTCCAACTAGATCAATGGTTAAAGAATTGTCTGAAGTTGGTAGTGTAAGAGCTAGTGTTAGTCATTTTTCTTCACATATGTTATTGGTAAAAAAAAAAAAAAAA